TCCTCTCCATTCTCAGCATAGAGTCATTAATTTGACCATCAGACAATGCATTAGAGTTTTCCGGTGCAACAGTAGGAGGATCACTAAACTGAGTATTTACTCTAACATTAGTAAAGGAGTCCCTTTGTGGCACACAGCCATCATCACCAGGAGATGGAAAGGCCACTGCTTGCCTCTCCTGCTGAGACAGAAGACGAACACGAGACACATGACCATGACCATGGACACCATGAACCCTTGACAAAGGCTCATTTCCAACTGCAAATGATGAAGCTCTGGCACTAGGACCATCAATTGGTGAATCTTGAAAATGAGATTGTGCGGCTTGTCCATATGCATCAGACCGAATATTGGAGTGATCTTGAAGAAATGGATATTCATGGAGAGCCCTTGGAGTTGCCTGAGATGAAACACATACTAATTCAATATGTCAACCACGAAAAAATCAGATGCACAAGTACACTAAAACCCAAAATGCATGCATCAGAAAAAGATATGAGTGTCAACAGTACAATATCAATTTAAATGCATCAGTTCCCCCTACATGGAGGTAAAGGGCAATGAGTTGTTTTGTCTCGGACTGCTTGAAGTCAGTTCAATCAAAGTAGAGTTACAAAAACTAGATGGACAAATCTAGATATTGCTGCAGTCATCTCACAATACTTGGACTGAAAAACAAAAATAACATCGAATACCCTTATGTTTGTCCAACTCCCCATAAAATAATATATTTTTTCCTTTTCTTAGGTTAAGTGACACCACCATGAAGTAATATCATCAATATATTAGGCACAGAAGCAGCAGACATCAATGGAAAGTAATGCAGGAATGAGCAAGTACTAGCTCAGTTTCCAGAATACCTAGTCAAAGTCAAGGCTGCTTCTAAGGATATCTAAGTCAATATAGAACCAGGGAACCTATCGAGACATGCAACAGAAAGAAACAAGATTCAGAATTACAAGTGGTGATGCAATTGTGTTATGGTTATTTGATAGAATTACATTCACTTTCTATTTCTAAACAACACATCATTTGAAAAGAGTATGCATTTATCAGAGTTTCTTAACAGAAGGTTATGGTACACTGGCAAGCAGGAGAACAAAGTAGTGGTATATTTATTCGCTAAAAGAAAATCTAATACCCAGAACTTGGAAAATGAGAGAGCAAATGGACGCTTCTCTCATATTTTTAGGGATATAGCCACATAAGTTATAAAGGATGTATCATACTAATAAAAAAAAGAGCAATACATGTATATCACTTAATGATTCACCAGCATATCATTGCACATGCCATCATATGGTACATATAAAGTAATAACTTTTATCAAAGAAAAAGAGACAGACTTTATTTGGTTTTGCATCATGCCGCTCATATTTTCCCTCCAAAGCATGGGCAGCCCGCTTCTGCTGCTCTGCAACTGCTTCACCAAGCACAGAATCAAAAGGGTTAGCAGCAAACCGATTGCATACAAGAATCAGTCAAACAATAGGCAATAATATGCTAGGGTAATAATGTGGCCTTTATTGAGCAATAAATCATATGTTTTCGCAACTTTTCTGATTCCAATGCAATAATTTTAGGAAATAGTCCATACTTTTAGACCACCCCCACCACCACAAGATGAAAAAAATTGGAACTCAAACTTCTTAACATAATCACCACAGTGCATAAAGCCTCAAAGCAAATTTGAATGTTAAACTACACTAGAAACTAACTATTAAACTTAATTATTAAGAAAATTGGTGAACCAAGTAGCAAGTGTGATCCAAATGCAACTGGAAACTTGTAAAGCCCATGACTGCCATAAAATAAACAAACTTATTTATACATTTAAACATGGCAAAAGGAAAAGTCATGAAAATAATTTCTGTTTATCTTAGAGATGAGAAAGCAAAATACAAATATACTCCGACAAAAACAGACCATTATAAACTCACTAGACAACTACAAGCACAATATTCTCTGCATAATGCTGCAACGAAATCCCATATAAGTCAAGTACAAGGCATTGCTGAACTGAGCTGTATAATCAATAAGGCAACCCAACAGTTATACCTATAGGTGCTCCGAACGCATCTGGCGGCAACCGATCGAACTCTACGCCGAGAACTGGCCCATCTTCCCTTAATGGCTCTCCCAATTGAGCTTCCACACAAGCAATGGCTCTAAGCTCCAATATGGACTGGGGTGACTCGTAATACCTCCTCCTCATTGGCACGTCGTCAGCCCCACTCCTGGAAACCACATTCCGCAACTCCGCATGCCCAAACGGGCTTGAGCCGGAGCCTGAACCCGACCCATAATCACTACCTGGCTCAGACCCGTGAGCCAAATCATCAATAGGAGGCTCGGGCAAAGTGGGCACCGATTTCCGCTGTTTCTTTGCTGGACCCCCTTCCTTTTTGTCCTTCAATCTTCTGTGACAGAACCACATCTGCAACTGCCGATCAGTAAGCCCTAATTTTTCCGACAGCTCCGCCCTTATCGCCTCCGACGGGTAGGTCTCCACTGATCAAAAGCCCAAAAAATAAAAGAAGCTTCAATTTTCAGAGACAGTAACTATAAATTTAAAACAAAAATAGAAAAAAAATCGAGATTGAACTTACAGGCATAAGCTTTCTCGAGGGTTTCAAGCTGAAAGGGGGTCTTCATCTGGCGCTTGGGCTTGCTCTGTCCCTCACTGGAATTATTAAATTTACCATTACTGTTGTTATTTTCATGATTTTTAGTCGGATTTTCTCCTTCGGAAGCACCCTCCATTGAAGCAAGATCAAGATCTGGGCAGAACAAAGCTTATTCCTTAAAGCCTTCAAGGCCCCAAACCTCGAAACCTCGAAACCCTAGAATTCCCAAATCCTCATGGAGAGAAAAACAAAACAAAAACTGGGTCTTCCGAAAGCAAACAAACAAACAACGAAGAATCTGATTTCTCCTTTTCTCTCTCTCTATCTCTATATCCTCTCTCTTCTCCTTTCTTTAAACAAATACCGTAACAGTCAAGGAAAAGATCAAGAAAGAGAGAGGCGTAGAATTATCATGATGGAATAATGAGAATAACATGAATAAAATAAATGTGAATTTCGGGGATTGACATGAAAATATGACAACAACAACATCAATAACAACAATAATATCAAAAAATAGGAAAAGGCAAAATCAGGAACATAAAACCAACAGTCTTTCCTCACTCTAATTCCACCTTCCATAATTTTCTTATTTTTTTTGTTTTTCACTTTTCTATTTCTATTTTCTTTTCTTTCGGTCTTTGTTTTGTTTTTGTTGCTCTTTTAAAAAAAAATTCGATGGGTACTTTCATACTTCGTTGCGTCAAACGATACGAGGCCCTCTTCTCAGTTTTTAATGTTGCGTGGTTGGGCTGGCTAAAAACACGAACCCAAGATCCAACCAACAAAAATGAATTTCTTTTGTTTTTCTTCTTTTTATTTTGTGTTCCAGCGAGCGGATGCCGAAAACTCTCTCTTCGTGTTTGTTTTTAATTCGATTGACTTTTCAATTTTCAAGGTTGTACGAGTTTTTTCTTTCTTTTTTTGTAATTTTATTTTATGATTTTTTTATTGATGACTCTAATGTTATTGCAAGTGTGCGTGCGTGTTTGATTTCGAAGGCTTCTGTCTGGTTGTTAATTTGGGTTCTTTGTGATCTTTGGATGCGATCTTCGGCTGCGATGATCGAGCATGTCTTTCTGGTTTGTGTTGTTGCGGGCCCCGCTGTCCGCTTTGGACATCATTGGGCTGGGCTTTCTGAGCTGGGCATGTATTAACTACCAAAAAAGGTCAATCCACAACAAATTTTAGGCATTTTATATTTTCGCCTTTTATGTTTTCTGCCTTTTTCATTCTTGGTAAGTAAACATGTTGTTATAATTTTAACCGTTTCTGAATGTTCGACCATTGCTTGAGAAGAGTTCGAGTAATGCTTGAGGGTCCCAGAATGCTCGAGTACAACTCAAGCGATTATTTTTCTAAATCTTGGAAGAAAAAAAAACTACAAGTCTTTATTGTTAATAAAATTAATTAATTTTCCAAATTTCACAACTTCCATACTGAAAGAGCTCAACAAACTACCAACACCAATTAATCAATGATCATTGAATGCCAGCAGAGACTTAGCTGCCTGATTTGAAAGATGCGAACAAAATCAAGATGTTCCTTTGGGGGTCTTGGGGTCTGAGCTCGTGGCAAGCTTCTCACCAGTGAGCAAATGGCTAAAAGACATCAGCAGAGGATATCATACATCTTGCTCTAGCTATAGTGGTCCACTTGAATCTCTAACCCATCTTTTTAAGGACTTGAGAAATAGAGAGTACGTAGAGCTGGTAAGGTCCTTATCCTTTACCCCTTTGCCGTTGGGTGGCTAAACCTCAATATTCTCCATTCCTAAGGCAAGAGTTTTTGGGTCTAGAGTGAGTTTTTGCCCTCTCAATTTGGTCACATGAAAGTAGAATATCTTTGAGCCACTTTCTCAAGCTCGACGCGATTCTAATAAAAACACTTACGACAGAAATGAGAGTGGGAGTGAGAATGAACTTGAACAAATAAATGAATTCTTCGTCTTTAATATCATGTGTATATTTCCTATCCTTTCCTCTAATGCATTACTTTACTTTTGAATGAATGAAGACCTACGCAAAACATGTAAATTGGCAGTTCATGAATGTCTCTAGATACAGATAGTAATCTATTCACTCACATATAAAATCTCCATTCTGTTGACCCCTTTTAGGCTTCCATCCATAGGAAGAGCTCATTGTGAGAAAGATAAAAATTGATACATTATTGAATTTCCAGTCAACATGAGACCATTGCAAATTAGAATGTCTTTGTGCTCTCAATCAATCGGAGAAAAAAAAAAGGTGGGAAGGGGGAAATAAACTATAACATGGATAATAGATAGATACTCAATTTGCCATTTCTTCGGAAGGGAATTTATGAAATTTACAATGCAAGGTTCCCTCCATGTCCATTATTCCCTTCTTCTCATGCAGCTTTCCCTTGCTGGGTTTTACGAACCAAAAAAAGGGTCAGAAGAGCAATAATATTAGACAGATAAATTTTTTTAATGGAATTGGATGCAAGGGACTAACTGCCACATGCATGAGCTAAATTTAGCTATATCTGACTTACTCGTTTCTCTTCTTCTATTTTGGCCTTGATGTAAGAGTAGATTGCCACTCCTGCAATCGCAATGGCTGTCCCGATACCAGTTTGTGTTGAAATCTTGTTGCCTGTGAGCAGCAAGTAGCAATTAGTTGTACAAAAGAAAAAAGGAAGTTGAAGAAGCAAAAGCAGAACCAAGCTGAAGAAAAGAAGAGCCTTACCAAAGACCAAGATGGAAAAGCCAATCACAAATACACGTTTCAGCACATTTCCAACTGCATGTGTAAGAGGTGCCACTCTCTCCAGGGTATTGGTGGCCAACTGATAATTTAAAAAAAAAACAATAACCGTTCTTATGATTTCATAACAGTATACTGATCATTAACTTGGGCAACATTTGAGTTATTTTGAGAGGATTATCCTCCTACTATTACAAAGCCATAGAACCATAAGTTACAATAGAAAGTAAAGAAAACAAATGTACCTGATTATAGAGATGGTAGAACAATCCCACCCAGAAGAGATCAGAAACGAACTTGACAAGACCTACTTTAGCAATTGCATCATTGAAGCCGTACTTAATCAGTTGAGGCCCCTCTACCTATGATATGAGAGAGGACATTGAACCAAAATTCATCACAATTTTTGTTTCAGTTGCACAATCAAACTTCAAGGGTTCTCAAGTGTAAGTTTTACTCACGATGAGAGCCGGTGGAATGCAGACAAGAAGAGCAATGATCGAAATATAGGCATAGAGATTGGTACTGTCCATATCAGTCTGCAAAACCAATAAAACGTTATACAAGTAAGAAGCAATCTTTAGCTCCCTATGTTCTGTCCTATTCAAAACAAAATGCTAGCTAAAGTTCCAGAGCCACTCACCATGGCTTTCTTTGAATAGATACTCCTGTAGGTAAAGGAGATGTTTGAAATCATAGCACTAATGAAGCCAGTCCAGTTGAATGACAACTCAGTCAGCGATGCCATCGACACACCTTCATTTTAAAAGTACGTAAATACTAAGTGAGCAAAGACAGTCTGAATAAATTCTCATGGCTCATAGTTTTTGGGTATCTGCATGATTTACAGTTTCCATATTTTTCAATAGTATGATTGCAACAACGGGATGAACATAAAGAGAAGGGCATACCAAGAACAACAGGAGCCAGGGACAGCCATAGAGACAAGGGGATTGATTGTCCAAGTATAAATTGCGAAGCAGAGGCATTGAAGAATGGCTCAAGAGCTGCAACAAACAAATTCAATGTCAAAATGCAATAATTAAAAGTGCACTTGAACAATTTTGGTCATTGTACCAAACATATGAGAGCATAAGATTTGTCCTCTCACCTTTGATGGTATGTGTGAAGGAGACCGCAACGGCTGCAAATGAGACATTGCTGGTGACGTGGCCAAGTGCATGGCACACGGCCACAGGGATGAGCAGCTTCAACAGGTTTGAGTCAATAGGCTGCACGGAGGCGAAAAACGTCAGCCAGTCACATAAACAACCAACTGAACAGACGGAGATTAGCATTATGGGCCTGGGCCTGAAGTGAGTTCACTTACAGCGCGTTTAGGAAGACCCACTGCCCAGCTGATCAAACAGTACACCACTCCGACGCCCAAGTGCACAACCGACACAAAACTGCACACAAACCGCAAACCCACTTATTCGACCGAAAAAAAACCGCAAACCCACTTCACCAGAAGTTCAGAACACATACCGAATTCAAATGGCTAGAACCAGCTAAATTACGCCTGAACATGAACACATATGCTATCCTACGCATTTTTATTTATTTGTTTACAAGAATTATAGGTAACGAAAATTGAAAATGGCACACTTACTAGGGATACGGGAAGTAATTGTAGATCTTCTTGTTCATGATGTTGAAAATCACATTCAGAAAATACCTGCGCGCCAAGGACGACTCCGTAATTTCACATACAAGATATTTCTCCACAAAAAAAAGCTTGAAAAGTTTATAAAAAAACCTACCACATGAAGAAGAAGAAGCCGGTGAGGATAGCCGGGTACTTGTCGAAGAACCCGAGCGGCGCGACCTTCGCGTCCCTGTTAAGAGCACCGAGTCAGGCAGAAAAAGGCCAAAAAGAAAAAAAGCATTAGTCCGGAGGCCGACACGGGCGAGTCAGACCGAGTCGGAACGGAGGAAACGGACCTCACCCGGCGGAATCGTTTCCCTCGGTCGGAGAGGAAGCGGCGGCGAGGCAAGGCCGGAGAATCTCCCTCTTCAACGGCGAGGCCTCGAGCAGCAGCGCGGGGCGGAGTTGCCTCCCCCATATGAGGTTCCCGCCCTCACTCACGGCGCCGATCAGCCGAGCCGAGACGAACGAAACGGCGGCGTTTTCCCTGGGAGATGGTTTGCGGTGGCAGGGGAGGGCTCCGAATGTGGTGGCGCGTGATAGCACTCGCGACTCCATGATTGCTGGGGGAATGAGAGTAAACTCTGAGAGAGAGAGAGAGAGAGAGACAGAGACAGAGTGGAGAATGTGGTTTGGGAAGCTGCAGTGAGCTCTTATTGGTGATTCAGAGTAGACACACAGCACAGCAGAGACAGAGATGATGCGCACCGTTTTGGAGTGGGTGTTCGAGGGCGGTTAATTGCGCTTGTTTTTGTTCGTCTGGGATATAATCTGTTACGATGCGGGACAGTTTAAACAAAATGCATCCACCAGTGAGATTAGATGAAGAACTTGAAATGGTGAATCGGAGGGTGTGGAGAGGTCGATGATGGCGGGATACGGTGAGGTGAGGGAGGGAGTATGGGAGGTTATGGTCGGGACGGGATATGTTTATGGAGGAGAGTGAGTGAGGGAGATAGGGGAAGAAGTTGATATGACTGTGGAGGGGGGTGGGGACATCTTATCCCCAGCGTAAGGCTTACGAGCAACGAAGATTGGTATTGTTTTGAAGCCTCTTATCGATTTTGTTTTCTTAATGGCTTTTTTTTCTTTTTCTTATATGTGATGTGATGAACTGTTAAATCTGTCCGTGATGTTGTTATGTGGTGGGTTTTTGCTTTTATTCACTGTTCTCACGAGAAGGCAACTGTTCTCACGAGAACGACTAGTCTACTAAATAAAATATAACTAACTAAATTAATTTCGTTTTCTATGCGTTGAGGGAGATTCAAATTTGGAACCGAAAGAAGAATATCATTACATTCAGAGTAAATTAGCGACCAAAGATAATAGTTAACTTGGCTTAAGTAAATACTATTCCGGTTATTGAGAGTACGGAAGATGAAATATTTAAACCAATTGGTCATGTGTTCGGTTGTCCATCGAAATCATCCATTGTTTTTCGAAATAAGAAACAAATTAAAATAGTGCAGGAAACTAAAAGAGTTCAAAGTTAATGATTATGAGGATACAACTAATAAAATGTTGGATGTATAGATCAAAATTATTGTTTTATGCATCTTTTATAACAAGTTGGTTTTCTTGGTGCAATTGAAACCCCAATACAGAAGAACATTGTCAACTAAGCCATTTATTGGGCCCATGACAGCGTAAAATTGTCGATGGACCCGATCCATTTGTCTATGGGCCTGATTGAAGCATTGCATTGCATGTTCCCGTTTTGATCCACATTGCCAATTTCGTCGAGTGTTCGCGCCCTAGGCCGTCTAAAGCCTCTGCTGCTGAGCATTACCATTCAGGGACCGTCCAAGACGTCGGGAAAATACGATGAGTCTGAAAGAGAAAAATAATTTCATGACAATCAGTCCGCAGGTAAGGTTGCTGCTACTTCTGTTACAATTAAATTTGTACTTTCCCCTCAAAATTCTTGTGTGATTTAAAGTTATCGCCTAAGACTGGTGTCACGGGACGACATCTGTTTGATGAAATGCGCCACAGAGTTTAGACTAGGTGGCTTCTTAGCTTGAATTTTACTGCTAATCGATTCATGTTGTTCGTGGGTAGTTCTTTTATCTGGTCCTTGTCTCATTTTTCTCTTATGTTTGTAGAAATGTAGAAATTGATTCAGAGATTTGCAGGCAAAGCTTTTATTGTGCAAAACTGAAACATAATTGGGAGTGAATGATATTGTCTTATTGAGAAAGAGTGCTGCCAATACAATGGGCAGCAAAACTTTGTTTAAATGGTCGAAGCAAATCACGACTTCCCAAGTTGAGCAGCTGATAAAAGCTGAAAAGGACATACAGAAAGCTATTCTCATATTTGATTCCGCAACAGCCGAGTACACCAATGGCTTCCGGCATGATCACACCACCTTTGGTCTCATGGTCGCCAGATTAGTCTCCGCGAACCAGTTCAGGTCAGCCGAGGCGTTACTTGATAAGATGAAGGAGGAGAAATGTTGTGTTACAGAAGATATATTCCTCTCTGTTTGCAGAGGATATGGCCGCGTTCACAGGCCACTGGATGCTGTCAGGGTCTTCCACAAAATGGAGGACTTCCAGTGCAAACCAACCCAGAAATCTTACATTACCATACTTGGCATTCTTGTTGAAGAAAACCAGTTAAAGATTGCTTTCAGGTTCTACAAGTATATGAGAGAAACGGGCATTCCAGCTAGCGTTGTGTCACTTAATATTTTGATCAAAGCCCTTTGTAAGAACAGTAGTTCCATGGATGCAGCTCTTCGAATATTTCGTGAGATGCCCAATCATGGGTGCACCCCAGATTCATATACATATGGTACTTTGATTAATGGATTGTGTAAGTTAGGAAAGATTGGTGAAGCAAAAGAGCTCTTCAATGAAATGGAAACAAAAGGTTGTTTGCCCTCTGTTGTTACGTATACTTCCTTGATACACGGCTATTGCCAATCCAACAATTTGGATGAAGCTGTGGGATTGTTTGAACACATGAAAACCAAAGGTATTACTCCAAATGTCTTTACTTACAGCTCTTTGATGGATGGATTTTGCAAGGGTGGGCGTTCTTCACAAGCAATGGAACTATTAGACTTAATGGTTTGTATGCGCCATAGGCCAAACAATATCACTTATAGTACTTTGCTTCATGGACTCTGTGAAGAAGGAAAGCTTCAAGAAGCTTTGGAGATTCTAGACAGGATGAAGCTTCAAGGCTTGAAACCAGATGCAGGGCTGTATGGGAAAGTAATTAGTGGCCTTTGTAACATTTGCAAGTTCCAGGAAGCTGCAAACTTTCTTGATGAGATGGTCCTTGGAGGAGTTTCACCTAACAGACTAACTTGGAGCCTTCATGTAAGGATTCATAATGCAGTGGTCCGGGGCTTGTGTAGTAGCGGCAATCCAAATCGAGCTTGTCAGCTGTATCTTAGCATGCGTTCCAGGGGTATCTCCATAGATATGAAGACATTTGATACTCTAGTGAAGTGTATCTGTAAAAAAGGGGACCTGCACAAAGCTTATCGAATTGTTGATGAGATGGTGCTTGATGGATGTGTTCCGGATGAGGGAATATGGAGTTCCATGGTGGATGGGTTTTGGAATCGCAGGAAGGTGCGTGAACCTGCTGAGTTGTTGCAGGCTGAGCTGATGAGCAAAATGGTTGAGCCTGAAACATAAATCTGAAAGTTTTGAGCTAGTAAGTGCTCTTATACACGTTTCATTTATTTTCTTTCTGGTCATGAAAGTTTGTTCACCACATTGCCTTTTCTTTTTCTTTTTATGAAATTATAAGTTACTGGCCCAAAATATGACTACTTACGTGGCACATGATTTATAAAGCACTTGCTTAGTATAATGTCGTTGGTAACTGTCCATAGTGAATTTAACCATAAACGTTGGTAACTGTAGCGCTGGAAATGGTTTTTCTGTATATTAACCATGAAATATATTTGGTTGACAATCTTGACGTGAATTGGTCTTCCTGTTATTCACATACCTCACTCATGTACTACACTCTTTGGCATATAAGAGAAATAGGTATGACAAGCATTTGTTAAATCAGTACCAGATACAATCTTCATAATTATCCTGTCAAGAATCGAGGTTTTTAAAAGCTATTTCTTTAAAGGTGGAACTAGGAGTTACAAACAAAAAGAGAAGTAATATAACTGACATTGACAGAGCTTGGAGGAAGCTGACATGGAAGAATGAATAAATAACGTTGTGTGCAGTACACAATTTTAATGAGCATGCAGGCAAATATTTCTTAATTAACAAAAGAGGAGTTGTTAATTTACAGACAGGGGGAAGCCAATTCCGTGGCGCTTGGTTGGAAACACAACAAACAACATACTGCAAATGACACCAATGCCAACTGGCAATGCTGTGAGAATCTCCTGTGCCTTATCCGACGGGGTTGGATAGAAGCAATTCACTACATTCTGATCAAATAGTGCAACAGCTGCAAATACAAGTATTGACATAAAGGCATGGAGGAAATCTATAAACCGCAGTTGGAAATTTGCATCAACTTCGGGTGAAAGGGTGGTTGACCCATCGATGATCCATAAGCCTCGGAATGTAGCAAAGCCATAACAGACATTTCCATTCTTGTCTCTATAGCTGTCAGTGAAGCTCAGTAGAAAACATGAAGCTCCACAGAGGGCTACAAGACCAGCAGTCATGGACCGGCTGACTGAGTCACAGTTGCCTTGGTTTGAAAATATGGGTGCTAGAAGCTGAAATGCAAGAACTGTTCCGGTTGGTAAAAGATTGGCCAAATGAGCTGTGCTTTGAAACGTCTGGCGAATGGCTTTCTGTATCAAGGTTCTTTCCTCCTCTGTTATGGACTTTGGCATATCTTGCAAGAGGGGAAGTTTTTGTTCATCCTCAGGCCAGTGCCGGGATTCCTCAGCTTGTATCTTGATCTCCATTGACCAGAAACGCTTGAAGCTTCTTTTCCCTTAATGTTTTGGTCGCTTTTCTTGGTTTGTTTTAGAATTTTTGTTGGGAGGAACAATGTTATATAGATAGAGAATAGAAATGAAAAGAGTGGAGGTAAAGGGAGGGAAGAGTAGTTAGTCATGCCTTGCAAGGAAGAGAAACCTAAAACTGGAACTGAAATTGAGACAAAGCTGCTACCAAATGGGATTTTTGGTTTCATGCGTAGAGCTTCAAAGTAGATGAAAGAAAGCTTTTTGGGGTTAGCCAAATGTCCATCAAGAGGCTTCATTTTTGTGCTAACTGCCCATCAAGCTTTCATGACCGTTATAGACCATGGTTTTTAAAGTTGTCACAAAGAGGGAGGGGTGATGAGATCAGGTTCAAGAAGTTTGGGGCTTACCAGGTTTTTGCTGTTTGTTGCTGAAACGCAAAGTGTATTGCTTAAAGGCAAGAGGCTTCATAAGAGGTGTTCTTTACTTTTATTATTATTATTTCTAAATTTAGAAGTGGAGACCCACACACTTATTTGGTTTTAGGCTTTGCTTTTTAGTTGTTCCTTCAACAGATGAAAGTCTGTATTGGATGATGAGATATTAGGCTTCACTTTTAAGGAATTGGTGTTGGATCATACACGGTGTCATATACTCATACCTTGCACGTTATAACTTTATAAACGGGTGGGAATTGGAACAGGGAAACATCTGTGCCATGTTTTGAACTATTGCTGCCAAAAAGGCCCATTTTTGCAGGCACTGATATGCTGGAGTTTTAATCCACTCACCTTCTAACCAAAATCTTGCAAAACATTTCCCCTTTTTTTTCGTCTTTTTTTATACAAAATATAGTATGAACTACTCTAAATTAATCTAATATACGAGAAGAATGACTCAAGTTTAGACGCAAAAGGATGGACTCACTGCTCTGACCAACTAGCATAACTCACTTTTGTGCTTTATACATTCTCATAGTTGAAACAAATTCAACCCACCTCATATTTTTTTTCCGATCTGAAGCCCATGCATCAAATTGGACACGTGTGTGGGTAGCCTAAATGCACAGGCCCGTCCATTTGAAAAGGACCAGGCATACACAAATAACCCATTTGCTCATGCTGGGCTCAAGAGAAGATACCAAATTGGCCTTTTTGTTTTGCTTTGTCCTTGTCTTTAAGCAATTTGAAGATAGGAAAACAGAGTCAAAAAAAGATGTCCTGTGAGAGCTAAAGGTCATAGTTATGGGGAAGAGAGACGTCCCATTCAAAGAGTTTGACAAATTATGTGCCCTCTTCGCGTTGGACCATGCATAATACATTGCCTGCCAAAGGGGTCACGAGGCTGAAGCATATAGACGCTATAGGCGGAGACTTTTCATCACTTTTTCCCAAGGCAGAATTGTGGCTTCTACTTCTGCTTTAGCATCCGTTACAAACTTTAACCATAACGTACATTTATTCAGTCACAGTATCTTAATCCTAAAGGAATGAGAATCTCGCTCTTAATTTAGTGGGTACGAACTTAAAGCTTAATGTTGAAAAAGGTTTTAAATTCGACTCCTCATGTCTTAATAAAAAGAAAGACTTCAAATCAGTAAGTGTTGCATGTACTGTGGTCCTTTTCTGCAACTGCAACATCACAATGCTGGTGTAAATTTTATCATTGTTACGATTTCCTTCCTTTCTTATTTTAATTTTCTGATAACTGAGAAGAATCTTTGAACTATTGGATTACAGAATCTGGTCCAAATGGTTAGGTAACCGTCTACCAGCTACAACAGTGAAGTTGCTTTCATTCTAAAAACAACTATTTTTTTTTCAACTTTTGTTATATAGAATTCTGGGTCTAATTTGTAACTGTAATTACCAAAAAACTAACATATCTTTGTTAATTAGCCTTTGATACTAGCATGGCATCTAGAGCAGACCCAAAAACAGAAATTGTAGCATCTAGGGAGGGAGGGAGGCAGAGCCGGTCCATTAATTTTGGAGGCCCTGTGCAAATATGGATGTCAAGGCCCTATATATACAAGTAGGAAAAAAAAATCCATATAGAAACAAAAATTTTTGACACGGGAAGAACACGTTCGGAAAGAGCTTCCCAGAAAAAAAATATATATATCTTTAGTCACCCTTCCAAATCACAGAGCTGATAAATTGATTTTCCAATTTCAATGCTTGGTGAATTCTCATGTGAATAAGGGAGGGAGAAAAGAACTGTGATTTTGGGGAAATGGCTAAAAGCTTGGGTTTTTACAATCCAAAATTTGATGGAAGAGGGTGGTACACTAGTACTGAAGAGAAATGGCTTTATTTTGATGGAGGAGAGTGAGAAAGACTTACTGAAAGAGAAAAGAATATTAAAATGGTTTTGTAGCTTGAGAGTTGGGAAAAGAAAAACACAAGTTTTAAACCATAATAAATAAATAAAAAGAAGAGTTGCAACGTGAGAGTTGGGAAGAGGAAAATGAATTAAATTATGGCCTCTACTCTCTAAGTCGTAGAATTTGTTGATAATTAATATTCAATTTTGGTTTTGGTGTCTTGCATGTGGTGTTGTGGGGTGATATTTAATATTTCATTTTTATTTTTATGTTTTAGTTAATTTAATGGGTTGACTTGGAAAAATTTGGAGGCCCTTCAATTTTAGGGGCCCTATGCGGTCGCACACCCCGCACACCCCATGGGCCGCCTCTGGAGGGAGGGAGGGAGGGAGGGTATCTACAGTTTCCCTTCATTCATGATGACCACCAACCCCTACTTCCTACTCCTTAAATGATTTAAAACATTGTGAAATAATGACACCATCAAACTGGACCCATATATTATAATTTTGTTTCTTTAGGGCATTCATGAAGAAATCATGAAAGAAAAAAATGTTATGGCATCTGAATTCATAATTATAAAGGTTTTTCCCAGTACATTTTAAAGTTGACCCCATCTTTTTTTTATTTTTAAAAAGACCCTACAAAATGCACAAGCAAATGATCATTTGGAGAGAGTGGGAGAGGGGAGGGGGTGTGGTGTTCTGAATGATGTGCTGGGTGTGATGATGAATTGTGTCATGTAGCCTATTGGCACAAACAAGCATGTAGATGATCATAGAGTGTGAACCTTAAAAGAAGTCAAGGGAAAATGTTTTATTTTTTATTTTTCTGGCTTGGCTGTTCACCTCTCAGTTTCTTTCTAGTACCAATTGATTTGTTGCTTGCTGCTTTTCCCTCATTTTATGGACTGGTTCAGAAAGCCAAAAAAGATTCAATGATGCCATATGGCCATGAGAATGCTTTTCTGCATATGCACCCATATGAAAACTATGAATGAATGACTTTATTGATTTTATGTTCTAATCATCAAGGCTTTATTACCGTTAGAAGGAGCTTGAAACACGACTGAGCATTATCTTTATATTCGAGGTTTTGTGTTCAAATTCCACTCTTTTAATATCAATTGTATTAAAAATAATAATAAATAAAGACTTTGTTACCGTTTTAATATATATGTAAATTCAATATCATTGTCCATCTAAATCTTCTTAGCAATTAACAACTTGATTTCTTTCCTATATTTGTGAGAAATCAAATTTTATACGTTTGGCTTGGATTCTCAGATTCTTGTCTGGAAACAACTGTGCGCCAAGGAGGAAACAAAGAAGAATATGCAGGGTAGTTTCCTGATAAATTATGCACACGTATAAAATTGGAGAGAAAAAAATATATAGAAAATGATTCAGGGTCACGGGTTCTGCAAGAGAAGATAAGGATGGATGTGTGATGTGCCACATCTGTTCCTGGGTTACTCGGTACTCCGTTCATTAGATTACGTACTAATTTTGAGTTAGAAAAATATTTAAGTATTAATTTAGAAGATGATTTTGCCCTTCTCAAACCTCCTGCACTCATTTTACACTTGAGGAGTGCATAAAACTGTTTTTAGAGTCCAAAATCAATCTAAATTTTCATCGGTTCGGTCTTGTTTAGAGCCAAAACCAGTAGTCAAACCAGTAATCAATTTAGATTAACTGCTTTTTATTGTTCTCATGTCCAAAATTAATAGGCGAAAACTACCAAAACCTTAGGCGATTAGGGTTTAGCAGATTGGAAAGGCCAGTTTTCTGAGACATGTCATGCCTTTGAATTTTCTGTCGAATTTTCTATGATGTCAGTTTCTGTCTTGTATGATTCTATCCAGGCAATGCATGCCATATAGTAGATACTCGATCGAGATTGCAAGGCTAGTCATGCATCAATCTCACCTTTTTCCACATCAGTTTTGGCTTCTTTTTCTTTGATATTTCTTCAACTTCAAGAATCTCTCAAGTGGGTCGTACTCCATTTGACTATCGAATGGCTATAACTTAAGGCAGCCTTTCAGGGAAAAAAGGAAAAAGAACAAAGACTTATGATTTCATTGACTTGATTAAGAGTCGTTTCTACAACAGATCCAAAATCATTTTTGGCATCATCTTCATCTTAGCTACTGTGTGGAATAGATTGATGATAATGATATAATCAATATTCGCACCCCCCTCATTTATGGGACGGCTAATTAGTCTAGAAGAAGAGTATGATCAACCCCTTCAATCTAATGGGTTTTCTTAATTACACTTCAAGCAATCTTTCACCCTACAGACTGTGATAAAAAAATTTAACCAACCTTCAAATGTCGCTAACAATAAATGAAAACTTGTTTATCTTTATAATATTGAAAGATGCTCTAAAATTCGTATCCAAATGATGAAATCGAAGAATTACAAAGTAAGCCAACATTGCAAATCTGTTTCATTTTTTTTAACGGGCAGAGTGAATCTAATTATAAAAACCTAGAATATTTAAGCTTTACTAAGTATGAGGTCTCAAGTTCACGTTAGTCAAAGATTCTCAAGCGTGTAGCTCCATTTGGGACTAATAAGTCAAAAAAAACATCGCCTAACCCAGTCAGTTGCTGCTCCAACAAATACCACTCTTTACATTATTTTTCTTGAACTTATTTGTTTAG